CAAGATCCAGTATCAGGTTATTGAGCACTGAATTCCTTCCTGACCCCAGTCCCCTCTTCCCGGGAGCGAAAGGGAAGTCAGTATTTGCTTTTCCAGCAAGGTCACGGATCACCTGACCAAATCTTTAACAGCTGGGGAGCCAGTGCTGCTGTGCTGGACTCACGAGCCGTCAGCTCAGGTCCAGCAGCAGAACCCCGCTTTCCGGGAGGAGGTGACTCCCCCAGCTCCAGGCTATGGCAGGGGGAGGATGCCAAGGGAAGGTAATGTGGTCCCAGCTTTCCTCCCGACGGTTTTCTCTTCTTCATGAAACTCCAGATTCAGCTGCTGCAGTGCAGGCAAAAATGACAGACACTTGAAGAAAAATGTGGGAACGGAGTTAATGAGATTGTGTTAATGTGTCATTTATCGAGCATGAGTTATCTCTTTGTTTCCTGGGTTGGTGGGAAGTGAGCTGGCTGGAGAACTCGGCTGATGGAATCCTTTCCGGGAGTGCATCTCACTTCCCAGGTGCCTGGACTTCAGCCCTCTTAATGTTAAGCAGTGCCGTCAGATGCCTCTTGCTGTTTAGCACAGGGGACGTTCCCACTTGGAGGCATGGGGCCCTGGAGTGGGGAAACGGGAAGCGCTCATCATCTGGGGAGATCAGTATGAGGTATAAGTAATTTTTTTCCTCTCTTTCCGAAAGAGCGTTTTGTCTTTGCAAGAGGTCTTGCAGGGATTGACAGTTGGCTGTTTGGTGTGCTACCTGGCTAAATATTTGACTTTGTAAGGTTGAATTCTCCAAGAATTCTCATGGCAATAAGGCTGTGCTTTGAGCCAAGCTTTCTTTTTAAGGAAATCCAAGGTGCTATTTATTTTGGCATGCAGCCTGTTCTGGGATGAAATATGGCATTTTTATTATTGCAGAATAAAGAGAGGTTTGAAGAGGACAAACGTACAGAACTAGGTTTCAGTTTCAGGGCTAAGTAGAGGAAGGTTTCTTTGTATTTGGACTTGAGGTTAAAAGTGAGATTGAAAATGGCATCATAAAAAGAATAACTGGGGAGAGGGAGAGGGTAGGGGTATATATTGCCGGAGTTGGTCTGGCCCAGGGAAATCCACGCTCCTGGGCATGCACCCTGCTGGAACCGTTCCTAACGTGGCCTGGTAGTTACATATGGGCTAACACTGCTGTCTGCCCAGCAACTGCCTCTTTGGTGGATTTGTGCTGGCAGCCTCAGTCCTCACCTCTTCACTGCCCATTGGCTTTGAGAAGCAGTGTGGAGTGATGGAGTCACACAAACTGTCCTGCCCCTAATTAACTGGGTAACTTTAGATTGGCCACATAGCCTCTTTGTGTCTTTGTTCCTCATTTGGAGCTTGAAGATGATCTGCCACATGTTAGGATGTAGCTGGGCAGTGGGTGAGGGTGACACGTGGCCACAGAAATGAGTCCTGTAGGAGTTCTGACCTTCACAAGCTTAATAGGGGAGAAGAACTAGAGAAAGATCCAGCTATGTATACTCAAAACATCTCGAATATGATGAGCTCACGAGAGAGATTGGGACCCAATGGGGCATTCTTGATCCTGGGTTAGGCCATAAACAAATGAAAAGTTACATAGCACCACCAGGTATTACAATTCTGAACACTGGGGATACGGCTTAACAGAACGAGTCATAAATTGCTTCTAAGTCAAAATTTTAAATGCTCCAGGAGGCTGCAAAATTCCATTTTAAAGGGAAATTGTGTCCAACAAAGCTATTTTTCATATTCTGTTGTATCGCAAACAAAGTAGCCTGTGTCAATGTAGCATTTCGTCTTTGATTCCACTCCCCTAAACACATCAAACGTCCACCCACTCGCGCGAAGGACCCCGGGCCAAGGTGGAGAAGGCTGAGGTGCGTGGAGCTGGAAGTGGCATAACTTGGGCATGATAGTCCCCCCTTTCCTGCAGAGCCCTTTACAGCGAAATCTTGCTTGGCCCTCTTCAGAGAGTTGGCGTATCAACTCATTAATTTCTGTAGCCTTGGAAAAGTTCATTTTAGAAAAATTCAAGTCTAAGAGAACGATTAGAGGTCTCTATAGAGTTCTTTTTAATGAACTTTGACCCCAAGGGTGCTGCAGAATTATTTGAAGCTCTATGATCTGATATATGAAGGGCTGAACGGTAACTCTAACCAAGGGCAGTGGGTGTGATTGAACTCCCTGAGGTGATGGTGAGTTCGTGCAGCCAGAGGTCCATCTGTGCCCAGGGGGCCGCCTCCTCCTTTGGAGGAGCTTTCTTGCTTGGTGTCCAGCCCCGGAGAAGCAGATCGCACTTTGGTCAGGAGGACTTACTTACAAGAGGAGTGGTTCTCCTTCTGCACGCCCAGAAGATGCATCACATGTACTGGGGGGAAAAGCAGAGAAGCATCGGAGTCAGAAACGTTTCCCCTCACAAAGAGCTGGGGATCAGTCACAGCACCAGTCTTGTTTACAGGGGTGGAAAAATGTTTACAAATCAGTTCTGTTCCCAGCACAGTCTTGGAGTCAACTAGACTTGAGAGCAAATCCTGCTCTAATACTTGCTTGTTATATGATTTGGGGCTGGCCTTCAAACTCTCTCAGCCTCAGTCTCCCTACCTGGAAAATGGGGACAATAATAATCCTCTTGGGGTTATGGTGAGGCTTGCGCGTGGTAATTCGAGTGTGTCAAGTGCTCCGAGCTCTGCCTGTTATTCAGTAATGTTTTGAGGGGGGCGGAGGAAGGGAGCAGAGGGAGAGGAGAGGCCGTGATGATGGAGGGGCCGTGTGTGGGATTTGCATCCTCACCTTTTTCTTCCCCAGTGTTCACCTCGAAGCTGCCGGGCCTCTCCTGCCTGCCAGCACCTGGGAGGCCCCACACCTGGCTGCAGACTGCAGACCTGGGGCACTGAGATCGGCATCTGTGTCCTCTGCCCAGGAACCTTCTCTTTCTTTTCTTTTTTTTTCCAATTGAGTTATAATTGACATATAACATCGTGTTAGTTTCAGGTGTCCAACGTAATGATTTGATATTTGTATATGTTGTGAAATGACTGCACAACATCCACTGTGTCCCATAGTTACAGGTTTCTTTCTTGTGACGAGAACTTTTAAGATCTACTCTCTTAGCAACTTGCAAACATACAACACAGTATTGTGAACTATAATCACCAGGCTGTACATTACATCCCCAGGACTTTTTATCTTAAAACGGGCAGTTTGTACCTTTTGATGCCCTTCACCCATTTTGCCCAGCCGTCACCCCCCAACCCCTGCCTCTGACAGCCACTAATCTGTTCTCTATATGTATGAGTTCTCTTTTGTTTAATAAAGATTTCACATACAGTGTTTGTCTTTGACTTATTTCACTTAGCATAATGCCCTTAGGGTCCGTGCGTGTTATCACGAATGGCAAGATTTCCTTCTTTTTTATGACTGAGTAATATTCCATTATGTATATATACTATGTACCACACCTTCTTTATCCGTTCTTCCGTCAATGGACACTTAGGTTGTTTCAGAACCTCCTCTTTCTAACAAGGGCGACCCACCCTCACCCCTGATTAGAAGCTTCCATGCCTCTCCGCTGTCGGCCTCCTCAGTGGCCGCTTTTAGCCTCCGGGACCATCCACATTCACCCTCCTTCTCCCTAACTTCTTCTCTGCTCCAGCTCCAAACTCAAGTACTTGTTGCCACAAAGGTAAGTGAGGTATTTAGCATCTGTGATCTTTCTGCAAGGAGTGTCTCTGCCTATAGAAACCCTGCCTGCCCTTCCATGCTCTGCCACTCCTGCATAGGCAAAGGCCGCTGCGTGGAACGTGGTTATGGGGGAACCGAGACAGGAGCAGGGTGCTAGCTTTGGAGGCGGCAGCAACGCTCCCAGAAAGAGGGTACACCAAACTTTCTGTCGGGCAGACTTCAGACTTCCTCTTATTTGGCAGGCCTGATATTTCCCAGGCCTCTTCCCTAGTTTGCTTGTTTTTTCCCCATTTTCCATCCCAGGTTGCTGGGGGCCACCCCTTGTCCTTCTCTCACTCCCACGTCCTCCCAACCTTTCCCTCATCCCTGGTACGCTTCTCTGATCTGGAGTGCATGGTCGAGCACATTGGAATTCCTAAAACGACTCCACTTCCACTGCTGCGGTGTCACAGATGATTTATTATTCTGATGTGTGTGGAGTTAAATCATAAAAACCAATTTCCTGGGTGATTTACTGGACTGGGGGCAGGGTCCAGGGTGTTTACCATTTGAAGAAATAGTGCTGGAAAAGGATTGAAACTTTGGGGAGAATTTATGAGCAAACCTCAAGGCACCCTAATTCAGAGTCAGGAGAGTACGCTGCTTGCATAGTTACTGACGTCTTCTGGCTCCCAGGTTTGAGCTCCCCCTTGTTCTGCCCCTGGTTAGAAATCACCCCAAACTATTAGCTCCTAGTCAGTCCTTCCAATTAGCTCATCTTTTTCTTGAATCTGATTGGGATGTCACAGATCACTTATAGGTACTCTGATTCCAGCTTTTCCAAAAACATGAATTATAATTCTTTTACCATGACGGGAAGTGAGTAGATTTCAGCTCTTGATATTTTGGAAAGAGCACCATGCTGCTTGTCGGAGCCCTGGGTCCAGTTCCTTCACGAATGTGCTGAGAGGCCTTGCACAGAACAATTAACTTCTAAGCCTTAGTTTTCTCATCTGTCTAGTTGGACCAGAGGCTTCCTTTGGTGTCAACCACTGCTAACATTCCATGAAGACACACCCAAGATTATACTCTAGGAGTGTGTATAGGCTTTTAATTTCCCTCCTTGGAGAGCTACGAGCACATGGGCACCTTGGGAGAAAGGCAAGGAGGGGTGTTAATTTTTTTTTTTTTCTTGGTGCTATGTTCCCTCCATACTTATTCTAATTGTAATGAGACTCTCCACTTTTCCATCCTCTTTCTTTCAGAACACTCCAACAAATTTTACAGGCTTATCGGAAGAAGAGTGCCCAAGAGACTGGCGGTCAGCATTCTCTAAGATGGAGAAGACAGACGGTAGGCAGGATCCCTTGTATTCCCTGTTCTACAGTGAGCACTTGGGTTGGAAAGAAATTATTACCATAAATCCTGGAAATAGCTCAGGGGAGGCCTACGGGAGACTGTCCCCAAATAGGCGGTGCTGGGAAACCCAAACTGTGTGTTTCAGACATGAACAAGAGACGGTAGTAGGGAATGAAAATGAAGGCTTATGTTTATGTTGGAGTTGTGTAATTTTTGTAGTGTTTCTCATCCCTTCCAAGCACCAAGAAGGGAGCAGGATGATCTCACTCATTAAGCTCTTTTTAGAGATGAGGAGCTAGAGGTCTAAAAAAGAGGCACACGGGGCTTCCCTGGTGGCGCAGTGGTTGAGAGTCCCCCTGCTGATGCAGGGGACGCGGGTTCATGCCCCGGTCCGGGAAGATCCCACATGCCACGGAGCGGCTGGGCCTGTAAGCCATGGCCGCTGAGCCTGCGCGTCCGGAGCCTGTGCTCCACAACGGGAGAGGCCACAGCAGTGAGAGGCCCGCGTACCGCAAAAAAAAAAAAAAAAAAAAAAGAGGCACAATTTGGTAAAAGAGCCTACATTCATACCTGTGTGATTTTCCAGGCATTTCACTTCTTTGAGCTTCACTTCCCTCCTATATCAGTTAGCTTTGCTGTGTAACAAATCACTCAAAAATGTATTGACTTAAAGATATTTATTATTTCTTAAAAGATTCTGTGGGTTGGCTAAGCCATTATTCTGGGCTGGGCCAGCTTGAGTGATCTCTGCTGGACTTGTTCACATGTCTGTGGTCTTCTGGGTGACTTGTCCTGATGGTTTAGAATGGTTACACTCACATGTCTGGTGGTTGACTCCATGTCACCTAGGGCATCGGTGATGATTTGGCCATGTGTCTTTTGTTGCCCAGCAGGCTAGTTGGGGTTTGTTCACATGATGACAGAAGGGTTCCAAGCACAGCAGGAACAGACAAACTCCAATATGCAAGCAACTTTCAAATCTCTGCATATGTCACATTTGCTGTTGACCAAGTCACAAGGCCAAGCCTAGGGTCAGTGTGGGAGGGAAGTACATAAGGGTGGGTTATAATTGTGGCTATTTTTGCAAACAGTCTGCCACACCTCGTCTATAAGCAGGTATTAATACCTACTTCGCAGGATTGGTAAAGGATTAAATGAGATAATGCATGTAAGGTTGTCGAGTAATAACTATCTAGCCCAACGAATGTCTCGATGAATGTTCCCCTTTCCCTCCCCAGGAAACTTGCCAAGCATCATAGACTAGACCCCGATCCCCTGACTTCTAATGAAATGCTTTTTCCAGATTTACCAAATGTCAGGAAACAGGAGAGCCTATATGGCCCTTCACTGGGACAGGACTCAAGGACTGGACAGCAGCTCCAGCCCTGCCTTATCCTTCTTTCCAAATGCAGTTACCATATATTTCAAAAGTCTGCCTCTCTCCCCAGGGAGCTGCCTTTTCAGTGCTTCCCTGAAAGTGGTCCCGCAGAACACCAGCTAATTCCCTTAATGCCCCGGGGGCCTGTCATTCCTGCTTGCCTCATTTGTCCCCGCTCAGCATCCCTGGCACGGCTGCTTTCCACGTGATCACCCACAACTAGCTAAGAAAGGCAGCCCTCCCTTCAAGCACACACATCTCACAAGATAAAGGCAGAGGAGGGAAAAGACAGCTTCCACTGTCTTGGCCTTTTGAAGACATTCATTTAATTCCCCTTCTTTCTGGTTGTATTTTTGGCCACTTTCTCTCTAGTTTCTGTTTTTCCCATTTCCTTCAGAAACTGAGTATAGGCTTTTGGACTTTTTTCCTCATTTTAAATGCCTCTGATGGGTTCCCTTACCTGCCCCCCACTTCACTTTTTCCCTCAGGGTAATGACTGTGGCCCCTTCCTCCTTCCCTTGTCTCCTTCTAATCCCTTTTCTCATGCCTACCTGTAAGTCTTAGGCTCATGACTGTGTTTGCAGGTCCTTTCCAAGGGTCTAGTGATCTGGGGTGCTTTCAGACCGAGACTCTGTAGGGAATTCTAGGTAGCTCTGAGCCTCATATATCCTACGTTTTTCTTCTCCCCTGACTCGTTTTTCCCAGTTTCTCCAGAATTATTTTCTTGGACTCTCACTCCCCCTTGATGCTGTAGTCCTAACACAGAGTTAAATATTCAAAAAAGAGCACATTCTCCGTGAATCTCCCCTTGCCCCGTTCAGAGGTAGCCCATCCTCATCTTTTGGCCCCTTTGTTCAGTACCTATGCCATGTTCTCTACTGCATCGGTGCTAATAATCACAACTCTGTGAGTTAGGTATTCTTATCACCACGTTACAAATGAAGAGACTGCGGCATAGGGAATTTAAATAATTTGCCCAGAATCACAGAGGCAGGAGGTAACAGAAGCAGGATTCAACTCCAGCCAGTTATGTGTTGGTTTGTCAGATCTGAAGTTCATTTTGAGCAGAGACAGTCCTCCTAATTAATTCTTACCCTGGCCCAATGCCTGGAATTCTGAGCTCCTGCATACCTATCACCAGGTAGAATTAAAAGGAGCAGAACTTAATGTGAGCATAGATCTCCCAGCATATCAGATCAAGCTCCCTCATTCAAGGTCCAGCATTCCTCTTGCACTGGGAGAAAGAGAAGGAATGCAGAACAGTGGGTGGCAGGCACAGCAGCACAATGTGTGTGTGTGTGTGTGTGTGTGTGTGTGAGAGAGAGAGAGAGAGAGAGAGAGAGAGAGAGAGTGTGAGAGAGAGAGACCCCATAGTGTAGCTTAGGAAAGCACCTATTAAACCCATCATCCTGGATAACTGCTCAGTTTCACAGACTTCTTTGATTCACCTCAGTCTCCCTTGTGGAATATTTTCCCTGCTGTTCCTCATTTGGAACCTGCTGTTCCTCATTTGATGCTATTATTGTATTTGTGCTCTGGACCTGCTCTCAGAGGCTGATGGGCAAATCAGTTCATTTCTACCGAATTGAGGCAATAGGCAGATAAATAATGCAGTCTCTCCTTTGGAGTGTTCTTTGCCTTCTGGGTCATAAATCTGCTCCCTATTTAACTTTAGACAAATACCTCCTCTCTGATTTGGCTTGTTCCTATAATCCAGGAGGCTGCTGAACCGGCCAGTAAGCCTAAGAGTATAGCCAAGTGCAACTGGGAAACTAACAGAGAACAATTGCTGTCATTGAGACTACCAGTGTGCCTCTTTGGGAGAAAGCAGGTTTGTAGAAAATCATGTGGGTGAATGGGAACTTATTGGAGTTTTTTGGGTGCTGGAGGAGTGTTTACGCCTTATCTGCCTGGAGTCCAGGTATCTGCACAGAAGCTCTGGAACCCAACTTGGACCAACCCTGTGGATCTGCACCAATGTCTTGCTGTGTTCCCTGCTGAGGCTGTGACTTAACTCACCCACAGGCCCTGCAACTGTACTTAGCACTGAGGCTGGTAGGGTCGATTATGTCAGTGTTCAAGGGTTCAGCCTTTATGTGTCTACTTGGCTTCTTTAGTTCTTTGGAGATAACTGTACTTCCCTAAGCACAGTTCCTGTGCCCCAAGCATGTAGCACTGGCCAGAAGGATAGATGAGACAGGCAAGTGGGAAGAGCTCAGTCCAAATATGTCATCACTCTTAGGGAAAAAGCAGCCCTATATGTGCCCCAGGTAACGCCATCATTTGCACCTCTTCTTGAACCTGCCCCTTCCTTCCATTCCCTTAGCTTCTTTCACCTTGACCATGTCAGCAATCTCCCAACTGGTCTTCAGGCCTCTGGTCTGTTCTTCTTCTAATCCTCTGTAAGAATGCTCACTGTGAAATCACATTTGACCAAGTCACTCCCTTGTGTAAAACCCTTTGATGACTCCCACTGCCTAGAGAGTAAAGTCAAAGCTTGTTGGCATGCATACAAGTGGCTCCCTGATCTGGCTCTTGCTGACCTTTCCAATTTTGTCTTTTTCTACCCCTCACCCTTCTCTTCCACACTTTAAGTTCCAACCGTATCAACTGTGTTTATAGAACCCTGAATTACTGTGGATGGTCACACCTTAATGCATCTGCCCATCCTCTGACATATATCTGATCTGTCCTGGCTGTCTACTGCTGCATAACAAACCACCCCAAAACTTAGTGGCTTAAAACAATCATGCCTTATTAACACAAGTTCAGCTGAGTGGTTCTCATTTGGAGTCCCTCCTGTCATTGAAATCAGATGATGGCTGAGGCTGGAGTCATCTGAAGTTCTTTTATTTATGCCTGGCACCTGGGCTAGGATGTCTGGAACAGCTCAGGCTGGTGAGGCATCTCTCACCGTCGCTTCACATGACCTCTCTCTGGAGCTACTTGGGCTTCCTCACAGTATGGCAGTCTCGGGGAAGTTGGACTCCTTATATGGCATCTGGCTTCCCCCTGTGTGTGCACTCTAAGAGACGCAGGTAGAACTTAGAGGCTTCTTGTGACCTAGTCTTGGCATTCTCTCAGTGTCATTTCTGCCATTTTCTTTTGGTCAAAGCAGTCACAGGCCAGCTGAGATTCGAAAGCATAGAGAAATGGACCCCACCTCTCAATATAAGATTCCCTTGCCTGTCTAGAGAAGGTGGGAATTGATAATGGCCATCTTGGAGATAAACAGCTACAATGTCTTTCACCCTCTTGTGTTCTCCTGGCAAACTGCTATTTATTCATTTAACACCCAGTTATATGTTGCTCTTATGAAGTCATCCCTCTCCAACCAAGGCAGAATTAGCCTCTAAGTCCAAGAAAGTTTTTCTGAGAAACTAGGAAAATAAGTCAAGAAGCAACACTGGTCCTTGAGCATGTATCTGTTACCATCCTTGTCACACTGCATTGTACCTGTTGGTGTTTCTCCTACTTGACCATACTTTTTTTTTGAGGGCAGAGCTATACCTGATTCATCTCTGTGTCCTTAAGATCTATCTTAGCAACCAACAGAGGTGCTCAATAAATAGTGGTTGAGGTAAGTGAACTCAATTACTGCTATATTGTCATTTTTCCCCAGGGCCTATTACTCTTGGAGTCAAGTAATCAGTCAGACACAAAGAATTTGAGGATCCCCTCCTATGTACCCAGCAAGTCAGCTTCCATCAGGGGGCTTCAGTTCTCTGCAATTTGGACTTCCACAAAGCTAATAACTATAATATTGAGTGTGTATTAAATGTTCATCATGTGCTAGGCACTGTTCTAAGCACTTCATATGTATTAATCAGTCCTCACCATCTCATCTTACCTGTTATTATTGCTATCTTACGGATGATGAGACACAGGGAGGCTAAGTAATTTTCCCAAGGTCACAGAGCTGAAATATAGACTGGGCTCCAGGCTCTGTATCCTTGGCCTCTGTGCTCTCCACTAATGTCCTCTCCTGAACTCAACATTTTCAGAGCACGTTTGGCAGAATGTCACAGAGATCATAAAGGGTGTCACATTAGGAACATGAAAACAACAAAGATGATTTAACCTGAGGAAGGAGCTAATTGGATTCAAATAATCAAAGGACTGATTTGTTCTCAGCATCCTCTGCTGGGGTCAAGATCAGTGGTGCCTCAGTGTGATGGAGAACGTTCTCATCGTGATATTCTCCTGATACTTTGGGCTGCTCTGAAAAATCATGAGTCCCACACCTCTTGGAGGAATGTTTGCCAATGTCCCTTTTGACATGGATTGTCCCATTTTCCTCCACCACCTTTTTTTCTAGTTTGTGAAAGAAGTGGTATTTCCTTACCTGGCATGAGTTTTTGAGAGGGAAACTTGTTTGTTAAGCACTACGCAGTTTTCCAGTGGAAAAGAGCGTAGGCTGTGCGTGATTATGGCTGCCCGTTCTGAGCTTCACGTACCTAGAGGCTCAGCCATCAGAGGAAGCTTAAATGATGCAGGAGGCACGGCTCCTTGATATCTCTGGATTTAGCAAGATTTACTAGGACCTATTTCAATAATGCAAGGTCCTTTTTTAATATTGAGACAATCGTGTATCTCATCCTTTGGAAACGTCCATATTCATAATTACCAATTAGTACCCTGATTTGGCAAATTCCTGGCCACAGTGGTAACTGAAATGCCATACTGCAAATTGGAAACTATTCCCTCTACCTATTTCCTTGGAGACATTGGCTAAGTCCACATTGATTTAATAACAGGATTTCTCAGCCCAGCCAAAAGACGGTGAGCATCTCAGCATAATTCAGAGGCTGGAACATTTAGGAGAACGCTTATGCGAGAGATATTAGGTCTCACCGCCTGTCTTTCTCATTAACGTTGTGCTTCTTTTTCACATGTCTTATGTCTCCCAGCCAAAGACCAGTCCTCTCAGGGGGATGAAGAGAAAGACCCTCCAAAGAGCCACCCCTACTCCGTGGAGACCCCATATGGCTTCCATTTAGACCTGGACTTCCTCAAGTATGTGGATGACATCGAGAAGGGAAACACCATCAAAAGGATTCCTATCCACAGACGGGCCAAGCAGGCGAAGTTTAGCACTTTGCCCCGAAACTTCAGCCTTCCCGACAGCGGCGCTCGCCCCCACGCTGCTCTTTCCCACCCGAACTGGCCCCCAGTGGTGCCAAGTAAGGTGTCGCTCGGGACAGAGGCGCGAGGCCAGCCACTGCCGCTCGGTGATCACCCCCAAGCCGCTGGCGGGAGCGAGGCGAGCTACCACCGGAAGGCCCTGCTGACGGAGACCGCCAGACAGCTGGAGGCTGAGGTCGCCCCCGGGAGTGGACGGCCCCAGCTCTTGAGAGCATCCAGCATGCCGGCCACGCTGCTGCAGAACAGGGCCTCAGAGGACCCAAGCCTAGACTCAGGGCCCCCTACCCCGCCCGCTCTCCCCCCACTTCAGGGCGAAGGCGGTGTCTGTGATGGCGCCTTTGGTCCTGCGGAAGGATTTGCAGGTTTTTCCAACTCCACCCAGGGAGCAGCGGCCCAACTAGAAGTCAGAGAGTCTGGAGACCTGGTGCCAGGAATACCGGAGCTGATCCTGAAGGGGCCTGAGCCTCCAGAGGGTGAAGAAGCAGCTGCAAATCACCTCCCTTTCTCAAGTCCTCCTTTCTCATCACTTGTAGTTCTAGAGGATGCAGAAGACCAACAGGAAAGCAGACAAGCCGAGGTGGCCGTCACGACCCCCGGTTCCCCAACACCAAGCCCCCCACCTCTGCCATCACCCGTCCCTGAGAATGAGCTCCCCCTAGAAGAAATTGAGCTCAACATCGTCGAGATCCCACCGCCGCCACCTGTAGAAGTAGACGTGAGAAGCATCGGTATCCGGGTCACGGAGGAAAGCCTGGGCCTTACCTCCGTGGATCCTGGCAGCATCTCCAGCCTGAAGCAGCAGCTCTCGGGCCTTGAGGGCGAGTTGTCTGGAAGAACTGAGGAACTAGCCCAAGTCAGAGCTGCCCTCCAGCGGCAGGAGGAGGAAATCAAGGCTAGGGGGCAGAGGATTCGAGAGCTAGAGTGCACTGTAGCTCAACTGACAGAAAAGCTTAGCCACGAGAACACCAAAGATGCTCAGGGCCAGACTGATGCCATGGTCAACACTGACCCTCTGCACGGACTCTTGACCAGGGAGTCGTGTGACAAGAGCATTGGGGTCAACCTTACGGGCAGCACAAGATCTGAAAGCTGGGGGGCCTGGGGAAAGGGGAATGGCGTCCTGTGGAGGCAGGAGAGTCACAAATGGGGGGATCGGAGCCCAGCAGAATTTGTGTCACCATCCCAGCTGTCACTGCCACAGGGATCCAAGATGGTCCTCACCCCCTCTCTACATAGCTGCCTCTCCACTGAGCTCAGGATCGAAGAAGGATGCTCTGACCAGGAGGGAGGCCATCAGGTGGGAGCCGAGGGTCCAGTCAGGGGAGCAAGAGGCTCTCCAAGGAGCAGCGAGAGAAAGGCTCCCCCAGCAGGGAGGAAGGAGGCCGGTTCAGAGCTCCCGGGGAAGGAGCGCCCAGGAAGGCCACCGAGCTCGCCCACCACCGATGCCACTATCGGGCAGTACGTTAAGAAGATCCAGGAGCTCCTGCAGGAGCAGTGGAGCTGCCTGGAGCATGGGTACCCGGAGCTGGCCCATGCCATCAAGCAGCCCGCCTCCAAGCTCAGCAGCATTCAGAGCCAGCTGCAGAGCTCCCTCAACCTGCTGCTGTCCGCCTACTCGGCCCACGCTGCACCCCAGAGGGAGCCCCCGGGCCCCTCTTCCTCCCCGCCGACGGGTAAATCCTGGTGCCTGCGACGGGAAACCATTGCTCCTTGACGAGTCAAAGGGGAAAAGGGTTTTAATTGCATGCATATGTTTTTTTAAAAGGTTTAAGCACATCCAGGAACCCGGTGGAATAAAAACTGATCTCTGCGACAGTGGAGGCTTGGAACCTCTGCTCTTGTCCTTGCTCTAACGTTGGGACCGACTGCAGGGCCACCACATACAGCCGTTCACATAGCACAGGGCACAAAGATGCCAGAGGGTGAACGGGAGCTGAAACCCAGCCCACACTTGCCAAGCCTGCAGCACTGTGTGTCTGCCCAGAGAGGTGCCTCTTTCTCATTTGCATTGTGCAAAGGCGATGTCTAGGGTGGCTGGCTGTGAGTGCTTTAAACCTCTGCCTCCCTTAATTGTTTCTTGGGCTTTTGCATTCCTGTGGTCCTGCCCAGTTCTTGCACATTAAGAGGTTTCTTTGTAGCCTTGTTTTGGAGGATCATTATATTGAGAGCTGAGATATTTTACTGAATTATTTTCTCTCTCCCTCTCTCTCCCTCTGTGTCTGTGTGTGTGTGTGAGAGAGAGAGAGAGAGAGAGAAATTGGGCGATACATGTGGAAGTCGACCCTTTGGTGGAGCGGCTCTTCCTCCTATAACAGATCACACACTCTGGAGTTAAGTGGAACCATATTTTGCTTTGCTCAACGGGCAGCAGCGTGTGAGTCTGCTTCCTGCCGCAGCTCACAAATTGGCTGTTTTCTCGTTATTTCGGTGCTAGTTTTAGTCGTACTCATTGTGAATTGCCTCCTGTAACTTTGAGCCCAGCAAAGCCCAGCAAAAGAAGACTCGTGCTCTCGCTCGTGTGTTTTCCGTGGCTACCCCACATCACAAGTGTCATCTGGCTTGTGAGTCAGGAAGGACCGCTGGGGTGCCCTCGAGCAGAAGTGGGTGCCGGACCAGGGGTCGGGAGGCCCAAGTTCTACTCCTGCTCTGCCATTCCCTGAGCACACCTGAGCCTCAGATTTCCCCAGACTGAGATAGGGACAACAGTGGCACTCACACCACATGGTTCAAGAATGCTCCAATAACTCTACTCTGTAATCCACACGTAGAGGGTTTGTGAACCGGAACAATTTGGCTGGCATTGACCAGAAGGTTGGGGCACCTCAAAGACCCTCAGTATATTTGATTTAAATTATCTAGTTCCCTTTCTGCCCCTTCACACACCTTCAGCCCGTGTGCCCTCAAAGCAAGAGTCCCAGTTCTGCTGCACTCTGGGGCATCCCCAAGATCATGCTAACCTGTGATGTTGTGTCTGCCTAGAGATCTCCCCGTCGACCAGCCTTAAATCCATAATGAAAAAGAAAGACTATGGCTTCCGTGCAGGAGGTAATGGGACCAAAAAGAACCTTCAGTTTGTTGGGGTTAACGGTGGGTAAGCATCGCTCATGAAGCCCAGCCTACCCTCCATACTACCTCTCCTGCTGTTGTCCCGAGCACTCTCTTTTCCTAGGGGAAGCATCTGGTTTTCATTCTTCTTCAAGGGAATTAATCTCAACGGCCCTTTAAAACTCCCTCTCGGGTTTGCATGTGTTTGGCTTCTTGCCAGCTGTGGTAGTCTGTTGGATCCTGTGCTTTTAATATGTCTTGGCTTTGGTGTTCCCTGGGGCCGGGATTCTGGTGCCTTCTGCTAGTTTGGGGACACATGAGCCCTTTAAGGAAGACGTTTAATCTGAACCGTAACACTGAACCTAGGACAAATTCTTAATTTGTAGAACTTCAGATTTCATCCTTTTAATTTTTTCCTTCCTTTAACTAACTTTCAGCAAACCAGACCAACTTTTTTAGGATGAAGGAAAACGATCAATGTCTATTGACTCAGAACGTGAACCAGACCTTATATAGTGTAGCGAGTAAATCACTGGATTTAGAATATTTTCTAAATCAGTCATTCAACAAACATTTATTAAGTACCGATGATGTGTTTGGTGGTAGGGATAAAAAAGTCAAATAAATCATTGTCCCTGCCTTTAACTCACAGTTTGGACATGGGCAGAGATAAGACAGAAGTAAAGGGAGAATGCTGACAGGGTGAGATGAACTCTAGTAGAGAAAGAAGTGGAGGATGGTGGGAAAGCCCAAAGCAGGGGCACCAGGCCCAGCCAGGGGTGGGCCCAGGAGGCTGCCCGGAACAGGTCGGAACCCCTGCTAATTTGGGTGAGACCAGAAGGAAGACACCCAATTCAGACAAGGGTGACGTCACTACTGTGGCAGGTTCTGTGAGGGAAACGTCAGAAAGATTGAAATGTGGTGTTATAGGAGGGTTGCTGTTCTTACGCCTGCTGACGCCAGACACTGTGGCCAGAAGAGAAACCATTTTTTTCTGAGCTTTCCCCAGTTTGTGGACAGAAAGCAGAATCAGACTAACCTCAAAGTCTAAAGCAGGTCCCGTCTCTCCCCTGCTTAAATACTTGCAAAAGTGCCAGGTTTGTTTTTTGTTTTTTTAATATTTATTTATTTATTTATTGGCTGCGTCGGGTCTTAGTTGCGGCACGGGCTCTTCCTTGCACTATGCAGGCTCCAGGGCGCCTGGGCTGTGTAGTTGCGGCACACGGGCTCAGTTGCCCCATGGCACGTGGATTCTTAGTTCCCCAATGAGAGATCGAACTGGCGTCCCCTGGATTGCAAGATGGATTCTTAACCACTGGACCACCAGGGAAGTCCCCCAAAGTGCCAGCTTTGTACCAAAACCTGGAGGTCCATCTCGTGACTCCAGCCGGCCTCATCCCCCATCACTGGCTCCGGGCTTTCGTCCCTGAAACATGCTCAGTCAGGCTTTCTTGGGGCCTTTGCATTTGCTGTTTCCTCCACTTAAAGTTCTCTCCCAGATATCCCTCAGTATCTGTCAGTCTGGTGCAGTGATTCTCAACCTCGACTGCACCTTGGAAACCCTGGGGGAGCCTTAAAAATACTGTTGCCTGGCTCCCCCGCCTGGAAGACTCCGGTTTAATTAGTCTTGGGTGCAGTACAGGTATCGGGAACTTTAAACACCCTCAGGTGATGCTAACATGCAGCCAACGTTAAAAACTTCTGCTCTAATGAAAGTAACCCCTCCTCGCATCACGCTATCCCATGGCCCGTTATTAGTTTACTCATTGCTCTTATCATTATCTGAATATATTGTTTACGTCTTTATTTTCTGCCTTTCCCTACCTAGAGTTTAAGCTCAGTTACGATAGGGACTTTGGTTATAACATTTAGAACAGTGCCTGGCACATAGTAGGTATTCAATAAATGTCTGTTGAATGAATGAATGAATTTCCAGGTGGAGCTTTTATGAAGCAATTCTAAGATAAGAACTGTTTGGTAAACTTAATATGTCCCGTTTTCTTAATCACAAAAGCAAAATGTTGTGCCAAGCACAGTAGAGGAAGAAATATCTGGGGTTTGAACAAGACAGAATGTGAGCATACCAGGGAGCAGTCTGGGTTTGCAAATCCAGTGAGCACAGGGCCTTTACATAGGGACCACCATTCAGATAAAGGGCATAAGGGGGCTCAGTAGCAGCTGTGGCCACTGGTCTCCCCTGGTCTCTGTGGCAGTGCCAGTAGGCCAAGAACCCGAAATCTTCATCTTAACTGGAGCATCCTCCATCGGAGGTCTCCTGTTGACCATCAGCAGAGGGATCAATACATCTTCCAGAACTTTCCTCTCTGGTCTCTGGTCTGCCACCTCAATAGAGTTGCATATGACTGAACATAAGGATCATTGCTGGGGAGGGAAGGCCATTCAAGTGGCCCACACCCTCACTTTTGCTGTTTTAAGCCGTGGTTGAAACAGCAACGGAGAAAGGCAGGTGCTAGGTTCAAGTATCCCAACTGTTCACGTGTCCCATGGAACCCTGCCAGGAGTGAACACAGATGGTTCCTCCCTTGTCAGCTGTAAGCTGGGATAGAACAGGGCGGCCAAAGGGAGGCTTCACAGTCACCCAGAGATGTGAAGATTTGTTAGGCAATTCAGAGAACTCAGGGTGGGGGACGTTTGCCTAGATCTGGGTCTCTCTCAGGACAGGACATTAGGGTTCCAGAATCAAACTCTTCCATGAGAGCCTTGGATACCTGGATCATCTGAATGCATCGACCAGTTAGGCCATGGGCTGTTTGTGTGTTTGTTGCAAAGAGCTTAGTTAATTACCCTTTTCCCCAAATGGCCTCCAGCGTTAAAGGTACAGAGCTCTTAAAAGCATGTTCCTCTGACAGTAGGTTTCCTGGGAGTCCCCTTGCCCAGCACTGCAAGTGTAGAGAATGGAGGACGAGGTTAGCAAGCACGGAAGTGTCGTTTAAAGCCCACCGAGTTCTCATTAGTGTTGACACAAGCATCAGGCAGGAAGCACGGAACGAGTGACCTTGTCTCCTTTCCCAGCTATGAGACCACCTCGAGTGAGGAGACCAGCAGTGAGGACACCTCCCCAGAAGATTTGTCTGACAGCGAGGCCGAGAAGAAATGTGATGGCCCAGAATCTAGGCGGGGCAAGGATGCCCACCTCAGCTACAAGGCGGGGCAGGGCATTCCCGAGGGCACTCGTGACACAGACCAGCAAAGCGGGCCTGGGGAAGAGCTTCCCCGTCCCAAGGCTGAGAGGTGAGTCAGATGGGGACAGATGGGGCACTTGATCCTCTGAGAAAGAGCATTTATTCACCCTTTCATCTGGTTGTTTGTTAATTCATTTATCTATCCATTCACCAATATGTATTGAGTTTCCAATCTATGCCAGGTACAGTGCATTGGTTAAACTAAACAGATCTAACTTCTGCCTTCATGGGATATACTGTCATAGACAGAGCTCTGCATATGAAGCTAATATGGCCTTAGCACTGAAAATGTGAAGGACTCTACAGGTATTCTCTTGATGTAATCCTTCTAACAATCTGTAAGGTAGAAATTATTATAAGCCCCACTTTACAGATGTGGAAACAGAGGCTTTGAGAAGTTAGTGACGCAGCTAGCAGAGATGGCGTTTCAACGCACGTCTTTTGTGATTCTCCCACCTGTTTTTCTGCCTCTCCCTTTGGCCATACTGACATAACCCTGTTTTTGAAAGTGATGACAGGTCACATGGCATGATGAAGAGAGTACTGACTTTGGGGTTGGACACACTTGGATTCAAATCCTACGTCTGCCACGGTGTGTTTTAGCTGCGTTCGCCTCAGTTTCCTCATCTGTAAAATGCGGATAGTAGCAACCCGATAGATTTGATCTGAGGACTGGATGAGAAAAAGTAGGTCAAAAAGTACGCAAAATGCCTTCTGCGGTGCCTGCCACATAGTAGGCTCTTGATAAATGGGAGAAATGAGAATAACAAGTACCATTCATTATCGTTACCATCATCCCCAGCCTGGTTGCTGAAGGAGTGATGAGCAGTGAATGGCAGCTCATTGTCCAGCAGTGCCGCAGGGCTGCTCCGAAATAGCAGCGCTGTAAGGACGCGATGAGAGCGGAGCTTCTCGGTGACCAATGCCATTGACTCCCAACCTAGGCCTCTCAGTGCTGAGTCTGCCCTTATACTAGCACAGGAGGAGTGCGTATCATTGAGAGCGCCCCCAGCTTAATCGATTTTCATTTTATTGACTCAATTAGCACTTACTGTATCCTTCATGGAAGAGTAACCGGAAGAAATTTGCTGCTGTGCATTGAGTCCTTTGGATTTGTCAAATCACTCAGGCAGAAAATGTTGGCTCCAAAGTCGGAAAGATAACTCTCCCTTTCCCAGCGTGTCAGGAATGGCATTTGGGCCCGTGGCCCCCAAAATGCTTTGGTGGTCTGCTCCTGCCCCCCGAAAACAGCAGGATCCAAGGGGCAATGCACTTAACTCACTCTTCAGAAGAGCTCAGAAGCCAAGCCTCCTTGTCAGGAGGCTGTGTTCACCCAGTATTTCTGAGGAATGCCCCTGACCCTGGGAAGTTGCCCAGTTTGGGTGTTTGAGTCGCTGAGAGGTAAAAGATGAGAGTGAAAGTCAAGGTAGGGGACTTTTTTTTTTATCCACATGGAGACTGATATAATATATATATATATATATATATACACATACATACATATATTTTTTTTTCTTTAGATATAAACCCTCAGAGGAATTCCTTAATGCATGCCGGGCATTGACCCAACATCTGCCAGAAACCGGGACGACCACTGACCAGCTCTTGGTACTCTGATTTTTCATCATCATATAAAGATTACTATACTGTTTAAGTTTCACCTGGGTGACTTGGGTGCCGTGCCTGAGGCAGCGGTGTGGGTGTGCACGGGTCCCTGTCCGCTGGCTGTTCTCTCATTTGCCCAAACTCTGCTACCCAAGGTGATGGATTTTGCTGAGAAAGCGGAACCCATGCCTGTGCACAGGAACCAGGCCTGCGGCGCAGAGGCACTTACCAAGTGTGATTAGGCGTCCCAACCTGAATGTGTCATAGAACTTTTGTGGCTTAGGCTCAAAATTGCCTTGCAGTTTGAGAGAACCGTGAGTAGAGCGGAAAAGAGCGGGTGGAATGGGAACCGTGGTTCTATTCCCAGGACCGCTAGATAGCGGTGAGATATTGGGTGAGTCAGTTCAACGCTCAGGGCCGTGTTTTCCTCATTAATAAAAGGAAGGTGGTGGACCGCATGTCTCCACTACCCTCAAGCCCTGGCATTTCATTCTGTAGTCGTTACTGTTTTTCTTGAAAGTGCATCTATGGGTCAAGAGACCAAAAGCAAGAAAATACACCTGTTTGTTCCTTAACACCATCATGGACCATGGAGATTTAAACATGTAAGGATTAGTTTCTGCTGGAATCAAGAGGTACTGGCACAGACACATTTTCCCAAGTCGTGAGAGCAACTGATAAGACCCAACATGTAACAGCTTGTAAGCATTTTTAAAGCCCATTTTGTTCTCCTTTGCGGAAGAGCCTTAGGAGTAAAAACGATTGATTAGCCCATTTTCATGAGTATTTTATCTTTGCTGATTTGGCAAATAACTTGTTCCCAGATTGTTAAAGAACCAAGATGTGAGGTGGATGTTGATTAAAGCTCCTGCTTCTTATTCTTAAATGAATTACAGAGCTAAGTTGTTTCTTAGATCTTCATTTAAAATCTACCACTATGTTCCTTAATATTAGGAACTTTCTCCAGATTCTCCTGAAGACTCCATGGGTAAAGGAGATATTCTGATATATAAGAAGTGTTTCAGCCACAAAAGTTTCCACTGTTTCTGCCTAGAAGATCGATCAGAGGACATACAAACCTGACATCACACCCACTTTAGGATCAAAGCACAGGACACCCCCTCTCCACCTTAGAGACAAAGCTGGTTGTGCAAGGACCTCACTCTGTAGAGCATGGGAAGTTAGGGACCCAGCCGTTTTTTCACTGCCATTTTATAGACCAGACAGGAAAGATTCAGAAAGGTTATAGGACTTCCAAGGTCGCACAGCTGAGCCAGGACTTATGCCTGGCCCCTAGGGTGTAGTGACTCCTAATTCAGTGCCCTTTCCAGAATGAATATGGAATCATCTCTAATAGTCACAGCCTCATCGTTTCTCCTCCCCTTTAGAAAAATAATCTAGTCAGGTTCCATTTTAAACACTTAGGTCATGTCACATGCAGAGTTGGTATCATTTGCGTTCATGGTTATAAAGGAGCTGAATACTGCAGATGGTGCGGTCCTGCCATGGGTTGTTACACCATCTTCTCTGAAGGTCCTCGCAAAACTTAAAAGCCAAAAATAATTCAAGCACATCTGTTTGGGTTTTACTTCAAGCATAAATTGGGCATGTTGTTTGTCTTAGCTTTCAGTGTGCATTTTTCCCAGTAGTAAAATGTTGTGACTTTCCAGCTATGCCTGTTAAAAACATGCACATGCCCTGGTGGAGTCTGGGCTAGGGTCACATAGGCTGGTGTAGATGCGTGAAAGAGGGGGTCATGGTTATCCTGTGCATATGGGGGATGTGATCGAAACGTACAGTAGACTCAAACTGTCCCCGAGTAATGTGCTGTGTTACTGGCTACTGTGTTGCTCTCCCAATCCTCCTGTCTACCTCATATGTGGGACCGATCCCACGGGTTCAAAGTGTGCTGCTGCATGGGGACCCCACTAGCTCTGAGCCCTCTAGGAGTTAATCACACGGAGATTTGGAGGGAGCTGAAGGGATAGAAGTGGAAGCATCCTAAGCTGACCTTTCCTAGTGGAAATTAACACCCCAGCTGGAGCACCCAGGTAGGTAACCTCCTGGAACTGGAATCTGTTGATCTTTCAGAAGCAGAGCTTAAATACCATCAGTCAAGAGTGGTTCCGGGTCTCCAGCCGGAAGTCATCCAGCCCTGCTGTGGTGGCCACCTACCTCCGCGGGGTCCAGCCTCACTCCCCACACTTGCTAAAGCTGCTTGTCAACCTGGCTGATGGCAATGGCAACACAGCTCTTCACTACAGCGTATCCCACTCCAGCTTCTCCATCGTGAGGCTGCTGCTGGAAACAGGTCAGAAATGGCTGCATCTGTGCCGCCTGGGTCGCTCTGTGACAGGCACTTCTTGTTCCCACTTCTTTCCAGGAGGGGATTCTTCACTGTTCTGAGTTCGTCCTGTGTTCTAGGAGCTGGGCTAGACCATTTTTTCCTTTATTATGTCATTTATTCTTCACAACACTCTTGTGATGTAGGTATTATTGTTCTTATGTTACAGTTGAGGAAACTGAGGCTGAGAGAGTTATAAAACTTGCTCAGGTCACAATGCTGGGAAGTGGTAGAGTCGCACTTCATGTTCAGTTTGTCCAGCTCCAGGTCTATACCACACTGCCTCTAGGAAAGGTCCCATTTTCCATCTTCATAAGTACTTTGTAACAAGAGTCACGGCTCCATTTGATCAGTTTGACTCTATTTGATTCATTCACCCTTCATCAGATATTTGTGAACTACGTATGAGGTCCATACTGACTACCACCAGAGATGCAAACGTGAGCTAGGCGTGAGTCCTCCTCCCCAGGAGCTTACAGCCTGACAGTCAGGATGGACGGCATGATGGCTCACCAGAGAGAGGTGCAGAATGGGATTTCAGGGCTCAAAAGAAGTGAGATAATACCGTTTAGAGAGCAGGAAATGTGCACTGCGGCGTGTAGGTTCTGGCAGACAGAGAAAAGTCCCAGGCCATTGAAGAAGAAAATGTCAGGAAGAAAGAAGATTGTCCACTGGGTCAAATACTGTACTGTAGTGTCCCTGAAGGATGATGCCTGGGGTTGGTTGGCAGATTTGGGAAGGGGTCACTGATGACTTCGGAAACAATTGTTTCAGGGGCCTGTTGGGAGGAAACCAGATTTCAGAAGTGAAAGGAGTGACGTTCATGGGCTAGGGAAGGCAGTGATGTAGCACGATAGCTGGAGGAAGCAGGAGAGGATGGGGAGAGTTATTTTTGAGTGAATGGGGATGGAGGAGACCTGAATATGTCTGTTGGCTGAGAAGAAGAATCTGAGAGAGAGAGAGACAGAGAGAGACAGAGAGAGACAGAGACAGAGAAAGGGGCAGACAGAGAAAGGGGCAGACAGAGAGAGACAGAGAGAGAGAGAGATTAAAGATACAAAGGAGAGAAGATGCTTGATGGAGCAAGGTTTTCGAGAAGCTGGAAAAACCTGGAATCCACAGCAGAGGCAGACGAGGTCAGCATAGGCAAGCTGCTGGGATATTTATTCCTCCGAGATGGAAGCAAAAGGAAGGGAGAGTGGGTGAAGGTCCAGAGGGATTTGAGGAGGAGAGAAGGGAAGTGAGCATTAGGTTCTTAGTTGTTGGAAGTCTGGAGGAAGGGAAGACTCTTCCCTCTGGTGGAGAATCATTGCAAATGGTCTTGCTCGTCTTAGGGGCTGGAAAGGGTGGTTAATAGTCAAACAAAGAACTCTATGTCTGCTGAGACCACCTCACAGGGCTTAGAGTGGACTTTCTGCAGAGCGTGTGACAACACCAAGCAGCCTAGGAGTGCCAGTGTGGACAGGCGGGGGATGGGACCGACTGAAGGTGTGTGGGTCCCAGTCGAATGTCATCAGTGAGCTTAGGAGGGCTGTATGAGGGATATCTAGGAGGGTACCTACAAGAGGTATAAAACCGCAAATGATCTACACGGATTAGGTCCTCTGCTAAGCACCTGACACCTGAGATGTCATTTAATCGTCATAACGATCCTGTTATTAGGAAGATTATTCCTGTTTTATAGGTGATGAAAGTGACACTCCGAAAAGTCAACATACTTGCTCTAGATCATGCAACGACTAAGTGTGTTGCTGGGATTTGAAGTCGATACTGTGGCAACCAGGAATTAGAGCGCATGCTAGAACAGTACACCCTTACTTAGGAAGCTGGAGGGGGAGTTTAAACAGGCATCAGGAAGTCTGAAGTTTGGATCCAACAGCTTTCCCCCAACTTGTATCTTGTCCTCCCCTCCACACCGACCCCGCTTAAATCCCTCCCACGGCTTCCCCTTGCTCTTGGCCTTCAGGAATCCCAGATGGCCTGGGCCTGCCTGCCTTTGCTCTCTCTGCCACCACCATGCACCCTCCTTCCCTCCACTCCAGCCACGTGTGGGCCTCAAACTCACCACGCTCATTCCCTCCTTAGGACGTTTGCATTTTCTTTCCATCTGGATCCTTTTCCCTGAAACTATTCTCATAACTGGCTTCTTCTCATCATTCAAGTCACAGCTCAAACGGCACCACAGAAGGCTTCTTGGTGATCCGTCTGAAGTGGCTGTCGCATCTCTCTCTAGCAGTACACCAAGTTCTTCTTCAGGTGACCTTTGCTTGTCACTTCTCTCTGAGTCTAACAGAACTCAGTTAACCCGAGGGAGGCTCTTGTCTGTCCCCTTCCTTTCAGTATCCCCAGCACCTATACAAGTTCCTGGCTCATGGTGGGTGTCGAGTGAAAATATCTGTTAGGTGAACGAGTGGACGGATGATTCCTGGGAGCTAGGTTAAATTCCATTAAACTTTCATTCTCCAAAATTCCATTAAGCAGCCTTGAGGCTCCTTACCTGCATGGAAAGGTGATGTACATAATGACAGCCTGAAGTTCTTTCTGCATCATCAGAGGAAGACGAAGTTACAATTCTAACATTCTTCAGGGATTCATGGATACCCTAAAAATGGTAGCTCTGTTGAGAAAGGCACATCATTAAAGGAGCATGCCTCTGGGTTGCATTTACTGTGTTCAGTGTTAGGGCCTTTCATTATAGAAGGTGAATAACAACACCACCTACTGTTTGTTGAGTGCCTTCCCCAGCCCAGACACAGTGCAATACTGCCATATGCAGTCCTTGAGGGGATTGTGAAGCAGATATTTAATGCATTTTCCAAGTGAGACAACTGAGGCTCAGAGAGGTCAAGTTCTGTGGTCAAGGTCACAGAGCCAGTAGGTAACTAAGCCAGAATTCTAACCATGATCTGTCACCCTCCCAACCTGGGCATTTTTCTACTACCCGAAGCTAGGTTCCAGGGGCACTGTGAGACCTTAGGCGCACCTATTATGTGCACAAAAACTCTAAAGAACCATAATGTAGCACCTTCATCTCTAAGTAGCGCACAGGCTTGCAGCCTGTTAGAAGTCCTCTGGCTGAGCCAGGCCAGGCTGGAGAACAGACAACCTTTGATTTGTTTGTTATAAATTTCTGCTGATGTTGTCTGAGGTCCAGTCAATACTCATCAACCCTAAAGTGGTTTGGAAGCTTTCCCCTTTAACATGCTGAAATAGCACAACAGCCGCAAGCATAAAGAATGAAGGGGGCTGGGGAGACGGTCTGAAAGCGCCATTCCTTTCCCTCACTGTAGTCGGGGTGTTGAGGAGGGCAGATCTGTCCCACTCCAAACTGGGCTCCCTTCCCAGCCATTTGTGAAGCATCTGGAAAGCACATTACAAACTGTAAAGGGCTGCACAGAAGTGACTCATCATTATTCAGAAGAGAGCCATGGGTGCACCTCCACCCCTTTAGTCCGTTGTGATCTGTCCTCTATTTCGCCAGGACGCCTCTGCAGAAGAGGAAGCTGGCCGAGTTGGAGGATGTTCAGTCAAGAGCCTTCTCCTCGCCTCCGGGGAGGTTGGTTTGCTCCCTGGAGCTGCTCAGAAACATCCGCTGTGAAAGCCAGGGGTCCTCAGCCCCTTTTCAGAGCCCCTGCGTAGGAGTTAGTTCTCACTCTACTGAGTTATAGGTCACGTTTCTGAAGAGAGTATAGAGAATCGTAACCTGAGGCTCATTTATGCATCTTAAAAGCAAACATAAAATAGTCACGGGGTAAAAATTTTAAAGTCATTAAGGTGGCAACGCAGATATTCCCGTCTTTATCAGAACAGAGTTGTGAGGCGATGCATGGAGTTATTATTCGGCTTTCATAGCCCAGCTTGTCATGACAGTGGTCAGAGAGGCTTCAGGCGAGGAAATTGCTGATACCTGAGCCCAACTGTATCCATTGGCATTCTGGTTCACTATGACACATTTCTGAAAAATTGTTTGGGATGGAGTGGAGGGAATGTCAAACAAATATTGTTGGGGTTTTTTTCCCTTGCACAGAACTTTTTTTTTTTTTTTTACATCTTTATTGGAGTATAATTGCTTTACAATGGTGTGTTAGTTTCTGCTTTATAACAAAGTGAATCAGTTATACATATACATATGTTCCCATATCTCTTCCCTCTTGCGTCTCCCTCCCTCCCACCCTCCGTATCCCACCCCTCTAGGTGGTCACAAAGCACCGAGCTGATCTCCCTGTGCTATGCGGCTTCTTCCCACTAGCTATCTATTTCACGTTTGGTAGTGTATATATGTCCATGCCACTCTCTCACTTTGTCACAGCTTACCCTTCCCCCTCCCCATATCCTCAAGTCCATTCTCTAGTAGGTCTGTGTCTTTATTCCTGTCTTACCCCTAGGTTCTTCATGACATTTTTCTTTTTTCTTAAATTCCATATATATGTGTTAGCATACGGTATTTGTCTTTCTCTTTCTGACTTACTTCACTCTGTATGACAGACTCTAGGTCCATCCACCTCATTACAAATAGCTCAATTTCGTTTCTTTTTATGGCTGAGTAATACTCCATTGTATATATGTGCCACATCTTCTTTATCCATTCATCTGATGATGGGCACTTAGGTTGTTTCCATCTCCTGGCTATTGTAAATAGAGCTGCAATGAACATTTTGGTACATGACTCTTTTTGAATGATGGTTTTCTCAGGGTATATGCCCAGGAGTGGGATTTCTGGGTCATATGGTAGTTCTATTTGTAGTTTTTTAAGGAACCTCCATACTGTTCTCCATAGTGGCTGTACCAATTCACATTCCCACCAACAGTGCAAGAGTGTTCCCTTTTCTCCACACCCTCTCCAGCATTTATTGTTTCTAGATTTTTTGATGATGGCCATTCTGACTGGTGTGAGATGATATCTCATTGTAGTTTTGATTTGCATTTCTCTAATGATGAGTGATGTTGAGTATCCTTTCATGTGTTTGTTGGCAATCTGTATATCTTCTTTGGAGAAATGTCTGTTTAGGTCTTCTGCCCATTTTTGGATTGGGTTGTTTGTTTTTTTGTTATTGAGCTGCATGAGCTGCTTATAAATTTTGAAGATTAATCCTTTGTCGGTTGCTTCATTTGCAAATATTTTCTCCCATTCTGAGGATTGTCTTTTGGTCTCGTTTATGGTTTCCTTTGCTGTGCAAAAGCTTTGAAGTTTCATTAGGTCCCATTTGTTTATTTTTGTTTTTATTTCCATTACTCTAGGAGGTGGGTCAGAAAGGATCTTGCTGTGATTTATATCATAGAGTGCTCTGCCTATGTTTTCCTCTAAGAGTTTGATAGTTTCTGGCCTTACATTTAGGTCTTTAATCCATTTTGAGCTTATTTTTGTGTATGGTGTTAGGGAGTGATCTAATCTCATACTTTTGTATGTACCTGTCCAGTTTTCCCAGCACCACTTATTGAAGAGGCTGTCCTTTCTCCACTGTACATTCCTGCCTCCTTTATCAAAGATAAGGCCTTGCACAGAACTTATAAGTAACCCTGACATTTTGTCGTAAACCAGATTTGTTACAATGAAGCTCTAAGTCTTCAAGAGCAAGTAGCAAGGATGTAAAGACAAGAATAACCTTCTGGACAATAATAGTAATAACAGCTAACACTTATTGAGTGTTTATTATGTGCTAGGCACTGTTCTAAGTGCTTTTAATACATTAACTCATTAACTTTCACAGTAACCTTATAGGTCCTGTTATTATCCCCATTTTACAGAAGAAATGCTAAGAAAATCTCAGACTTGTCTTACTGAGATTGTTTTATTATTGTCCCAAAGAGACACGTAGATTTTTTGCATGAGCAACAGTACAGGGAAGATTTGGTTTTCCACACTGTACCGCCCTTATGAAGTGGGAGCCTTCAGACAACAGATAACAGGCTGAAGATCTCCTATGTCTCCTTTGGTGGGAAGGGATATGAATGCATATCCCCAGGGTTACAAAGCAGAAATTTCTTTTGAGTTCTCATTTAATACTTCATCTTAAAAATATGCCAGTTTTTCATTCTATTATGAAATGTATATTCTTAATTGCTTTAATATAAAAATTTGTGGAGTGTTTTATTTTCCACTCTGCTTTTCAAATGAAAATGGTTATTCCCGGAAGATTTCCCATGTTTATCCTGGGGTGTTTTTCATGTCCCCTGGTCCATTGCACAAGATATCACTAGCCTTTGAAAAGACCTACAACCATAGACAGCTGCTTAAGAGTTACACATAGACATAGAACCAGACCTGAAATACACACCTGTGGGTGACGTGAGGCCATGTGAGTGATGGGCTCTAGCGCCGGATAGACCTGAGTCCTGGTCTCACTTCTCCTTCACTTGGGCAGTTGATATAACTTCACTGACTTTCAGGGTCCTCATCTGTAAAATAGGAATAATGTTTGTCCTCCACTTTAGGAAATAAAGTCAAGGTCATTGGCCCCCTTGGCCACCTCTGACTCTCCTGTGGACCTTTCTTGCTGGGTATCCTCAGAAAACTTGTAAAGAAAAGTGGCCACTGTTAAAGGCTGTTAAAAAATGTAGAACATAGATTCCACCACTGGGAAAGGATTGCTCTATCCTGTGGCCCTTCAACCAGCTGGCAGCATCCTGTTGAACAGGCTAAAGCCTGGCTTCCAGCCTCTCGGGAGCTGTTCCAGCTTCGGTGTTTCTCTTGCAGGCGTCTGCAACGTGGACCATCAGAACAAAGCTGGCTACACCGCCGTGATGATCACTCCCCTGGCTTCTGCAGAGACCGATGAAGACATGGCTGTTGTCTGGAAACTCTTACGAGAAGGAGATGTGAACATCCAAGCTACTCAGGTAGGAGGTGTGAACATGATCTCCTCTTTAATGAACACGGGCACCTCCCAGTTTTATTCTGCCACTGGGGTGAGAAACTCCATGCAGATCCATGTAGAGTTTTTAACCCGAGAAGTCTGGGCCCTCCAAATGGCATCTGTCCAAAGACTGGACATTCAGTTTCCTCAGAGCCTCCTGAGACCCAGACAGGCTGGGACAGAGGTCATGAGCTTGTAATCTATGTCCCCGTCTGAAACTGGGCAAATTCCATCTGGGTCTGACTCCTCAAACCGAATGTTCCACAGTTAGCACCTTGAGAAGGCGTTTGCTAGTTGTGCTCTAGAAAGCCCCTGCAGGAGATCCACCTTGATCATAAATTACAAAGCAGTCCAGAGGGTTGGGATGTCTCTGTTCAGCTTCTGGGCCCTTCTACTTGAGAACACAGAGTAGGGGTGTGGCCCTTAGCCAGTAGACAAAGCTCCATATGGAACAGTGGGCATTCCTCGAAAGGCCACTTACCCATCTTTGACCAATAGAAGAACAAGCAGAGTGCATTCCACTCTCCATTTCCCCCCAGAGTGATCATCAGTGTAGCCTAACTCTCAAGAAGTGTAAAGGGGGCTTCCCTGGTGGCGCAGTGGTTGAGAGTTCGCCTGCCAATGCAGGGGACACGGGTTCGTGCCCCGGTCCGGGAGGATCCCACATGGCTGTGGAGCGGCTGGGCCCGTGAGCCATGGCCACCGCTGAGCGGCACGTCCGGAGTCTGTGATCTGCAACGGGAGAGGCCACAACAGTGAGAGGCCCGCGTACGGCAAAAAAAAAAAAAAAAAGAAGAAGTGTAAAGGATCTGAGATTTTACTCTACCTTAAAGCTAACATGTGTCGTGGATGCTGGCAGATGACCCAGGACTCTTGTGCAAGAGACAAAGGACAGTGTGTTACTCACAGCAGTAACAGTAGTCAGAGCATTGGTATTTATACCAGTTCCCCAAGTCCCAATTCCCACTTCGCACAGGGTGATGTGAGGAGGGCCGGATCCCTGCACACAGAGTAGATTGTGTTACTGGGGAAGAACCCTGAGCTTAGGGAACCTGAATCTTTCATACTGGATAGTAAGCGTGTCTGCCCTCTGTTCTGGAGGGGACAATGTCTCTAAGTTCCAACGCTGTTCATTGTACATTCACCCTTAAAAAGATAGTCTAGAACAAAAGGTCACATACTGCCTGACTCACTAAATATGCAGAAAGCCAAGAGACCCATAGAAAATAGAAAATTGTCTCCCAACCACCTGTTTAACTCTGCTCACCACCCCGACCCCAAAGTGATTGCAGACAGTAGCCTAACCTGATGGCAAAGTCTCTTTGCACATGTCACATACTAGCAATTCTATTGGTGGCAAGAAACAGACATTTGTAGCTTACTCTCTAGTTTTCAAAGTATCTTCACCCACCTACTCCATAGGACTCAGTAAAGCTGTTTTCATTTTAAATAATATGTTTTCCAGAAACATATCAAATCTTTTTTTTTCTAAAGTGGTCCTCTTGAAGGGGGAGTGCTCACTAATGATCAAAATCCATGCCCTTCTTATACAGGAGAAACCAATGCTCTAGGAGAGTAAGGGACCCATCCCAGGTCACCAAGGGAGGGATGGGAATTCATAGTGCAGCTGCACCCTTCAGCACCCTCTGGGGCTTTACGTATGAGGGGAGCTGCAGGTACCAGGTTAAATAGGAGTGAGCTGGGAGGCCAGGAGTCTCCCGGGCTAAACTACTTATTTCTCTCTGTATCTCCAGGGTCAGCGCTGCACCGGGCCATAGCAGTGATCTGTAAATGGTGGTTGAATTAAATTGTATGGAGCCAGACCAGGAGGGAGGGGGCCCCAAGTCAGGCAGGAGGCAGACAGGAAGACATCTGCATATGGCATCTGGCTTTAATACCACTCAAAGAGAGGGGTCTGGAGGGAAACCTATGGTCTGGTTAGTGCAGTAAACAAGCATTACCTCAGGGCTGAGCATAAGCAAACCAAAGAGCAAACAAGCTTCTCTGGAAAGATCTGTCTGGGTTCCAGAGAAATGGGGAACCAGGACACCTAACGATGCATTCACACGTCCCAGGCGATGGTCAGACCTCATCTCTAATGCTCCTAAATGCAATAATAGCTGACGTGTACACAGCATCTGTGCCGCGCTCAGGCCTCACACCAGCCCCAGAAGGGAGGTAATGTCGTTAAGCATTCCTGCTTTACCAGATCAGGAAGAGTCACCGAGAGGTGAACTCGTCCAGATTCACATAAGTACAGAATGCGGCAAAGCCAGGATTTTTCTGATTGCAACCCCCTTTCTTTTCTCTAAGCCCCAGACTTCCGAGCAGGGAAACATAATCCATCAGTGACTGCAGATCGGAGCTTTAATCAGTGAACTCATCAGCCAACATATTTTACGTGTAAGACACTGTGTTCAGAGCCACAGGGGATCTGAGAGGAAAGAAACCAGTCCTTACCTCTTCTCACATCCCTACAAAGCCTGACAGTCAGAGAGACATGCCTGAGCTGCCTGGAACCCAGGAGAGAACCACGAGGGCAAAATATATAATCAAGTCGCATAAGAGGACTATGTATATACAGGAAAATCCAGGAAAAATGATGATCAATTTGTAATCAGAAAAGTTACTGCCACACATTTTTATATTTATACCCTTTATCTCATTTGATTTTCACAAAAGCCCTGTGAGGTATACAGGATGGATCATAATTATATTAATTTTTAAGAAAGAAAGACCAAGGTTCAGGGACACGAAGGGACGTGACCAGGGTCACGCAGTAGGAAACAGCAGAACCAGAGCTTGGTCTTACTTTCTGACTCTAATCCGTTGCCATGTGCATTGATGATTACAGGGTTGTGAAAGATTGTTGTCAATGGCTGTGGATTAGAAATGACCACAGGACCATGTAAACAGAGAGCTTCTTGAGAAAAGAGGCTTCTGGGTATCATTCAACTGAAAATACCAGAGGTGTTCAGAGCAGCCCAAGACTTCCTGTAGGAAGTTAGGCTGGGGCGGGGAGTCAGAAGCCATGGTCCTGAAGTATTCAACCCTTCAGTTATTCCATCATTCAGCACTTATCAGCATGTACTTGGTGCTAGGCACTGGAGAGACAGAGATGAAAAAGACTTAGCTCCTGCCATCAAAGATGTCACAGTCTATGAGAAAGAGACAGGTTGACCGGTTGAAATGCCAAGTGGTAAATGCTGTGTTATGAACCCTGTGCCTGGGGTGTTAGTAGAGGGCTTTAGAGAGGATGCAGCATTTGACTCGTGTCTTGGAAGAGGAGTAGAAGTTTACCAGGCCAAGGACGACGTGTCCCTTACCACAGAGATTCAGGTCAACTGTCATTTTCCAGAGAAGTCTCTCCTGACTACACCCAGGCTGCGGAGGGGGTCCTTCCCATCAGCCCCAGCCTCACCACGCCCCTGCTCTCTGTGTGCAGGGAGGCCAGACTGCGCTGATGCTGGGAGTCAGCCACGACCGGGAGGACATGGTCCAAGCGCTACTGAGCTGCCAGGCAGATGTCAACCTCCAGGACCATGATGGATCGTCAGCCCTTATGCTGGCCTGTCGCCATGGCAACGTCGACATGGTCCGGCTGCTCCTGGCACACCCGGCCTGTGACAGCAGCCTGACTGACAAGGTGAGACTTATAGGCAATTAACAAGTGGGTGTTCCACTTCCCTTCCTGAAAAGTACCTTGCCAGCCAGCAAAATTCAAGGGACCATATGGCACTAGGAACAGAATTGACTTCATAAGGCTGTTGTTGGATTTAAATGAGATGACCCATGTAAATGCTGGGAGACTTGGAGCTGAGAAACCCCAAACCCTAGCCTTTCACACCATGCTGAGGGATTGCGCTCAGGCCTGGTCTTGACCCTGAACCGCATCTGGTCATGGCAGCCTGTGGGCTTTTGAGGCGGCAGCTTGAGTAGGGAGGCTATGCTGTCCATGGGGCTCCCAGAGGCTGGATGAAGGAACCAAGTACAAATTGTGTCCACTCTTGGACAGTGACCTACCTTACAGAGTGGCCCATTTCATCAAGCCACCCTGCTTGAAGTTGCATTGCCAGATACATGCTTCTTGTGAGGCGACGGCGTTGATGATGATGATGGTGATGATGGTGGTGGTCGTGGTGGTGACACAATAGTAATAAAAGCTAACCTGTATCATATGCTGGCTTGGTGCCAGGTACTGTACCAAGCAGTTACCACGGGCTCTCTAGTTTAAATCCCGCAACAATCCTATTAGATTGACTCTGTTGCTCATGGGGGAACGGAGGCCCTGAGTGGTTAAGTAACATACCCAAGATCAGACAGCAAGTGGAACCAGCTCCATCAAACTCCTAAGAACACTCACAGGAACTAACTCTTTCCATGCATTACTTCACGAATCCTCTCAGTAATCCAGGGAGGTAGATACTGCCATCCCCGTTTTGTATTGATAAGGAAGCAGAGGCCTAGAGCGTTTATATAGCCGTCATAAGGTCACAAGCTGCTGATTCTTGAAGCAAGAATTCGAGCCCAGATCTGACTTAATGCTGACACTGTAATTTAATGCTTTAAACAGACTTCTCTGTACTTTCTTAACATCCACATTTCAAAAGGAACAAAGGCCTGAGGGGGGAAAGAGGGCCCCGCCCCGCCCAGGGACAGCCCTTCTTACCAAGCCACATCTGAAAACGCCCTGCCACTGTCCCATCACTGATTCAAGCTGCTGGGTCCCTTGTACCGCACCCAGGCAGCCGGCACCCAGGCCCAGTATCTTCAGGTCCCATGAACTCCAGCTCTGCCCAAAGCCATTTCTGTGATCATTAGAGAGCACAGACCCTCTTGAAATGCTTGTGGGAACAGTGGTGGGCTCTGGAAGTAAGAGCCTCCTTTTCCAAATGTGATACAGTCAGATAAAGGCTCTATGTTAATGCGCTCCCTGCAGGGTCACCCTGGGGCAGAAGGAGGTGGCCCCTTAATCTGGAACAGACCCAGGGCCCTCTTAGGAGTGACCAGTGCAATTGGCCAGGGGAGGCCTGAGAGGGCAGGCCTGTGGGACGGGGGCGGGAGCTTTGGAAGTCCCTGGTTAGCGGGGGGTCATCAGGCAGTGAGACTGAGTCTCCCGTCACAGATTAGAGAGCTCAGTAGCTGCTTTCAGTAGGTGGAGGTAGGGCTCTGTTGAACTTTGGACAGATCAAGTGATTGTTAGAAGCATGGACTTTATTTTTTTTTTAATTTTTTATTTTATTTTATTTTTTTAATCATCTTTATTGGGGTATAATTGCTTTACAATGGTGTGTTAGTTTCTGCTTTATAACAAAGTGAATCAGTTATACATATACGTATGTTCCCATATCTCTTCTCTCTTGTGTCTAGAAGCATGGATGTTAGAATGAAACACTCCTGAGTTTGAAACAGCGTTCTGTGACTGTGTGCCTTTGGGCAGGTCACTTAACCATTCTGAGCCTCTGCATGCTTGTCTGTAACTGAGGATAGTAATAGACCAGACCTAAATACGGTACATTTGTAAAGCCCCTGTTTGACATCTAGGAGATACTCAGTTGATGGCAACTGTTATTGTTGGGAATAGGTGAACCAGGACAGCAAATATGAGGCAGCCACCACACGAATGAGTAGGGACCTGGGCATTTGCAGGCAGTGTCTGGAGGGAGTAGGGAGGATGAAGGTCTGGAGTTAGAGGAGCCATTCAGAGGAGGCTGGGGCCCAAAGGGAGAAGTACTCCCATCTGGGAGTGATTGTGCCCTCTAGGGGGGATTCAGCAGTGTCTGGAGACATCTTTATCTGTCATAAGTATGTGTGTGGGGCAGTCCTGGCGTCTAGTGGGTAGAGGCTAGGGTAGCTGCTAAACACACAAAGTACAGGAACAGTGAAGAATTACAGATTATCTGGCCCAACATGGCAGTAGTGCCTCCGCTGAGAAACCCTGGTATAGGTGAGTGCTGAAATCCAGGTGGGATGAAATGCTGTCCCAGTGAAGTGCTGGAGGTTGAGGACAGGCTGGTTGCAGTTTGGGGCAGCCTGAGAAGAAGGTACTAGGCAGCTAAACCGGAGATGGTAGCGGAAGCCTGTCTTAGGGGAAGGTGGAGAGCGTTAGGGGATGCCCAGTGAGCACAGGGGTGCCCAAGCGATACAGGTGGCAGGCCCACAGAAGTTTCTAGACCTTGCTCACGGCCCAATCACCTGCTGCCTGCTGGGGACAGGGTTGACTCAGGAGTCACACCCAAATTTCCCAAAGGTGACTTGGGTGAAAAGTTTCAGTGGGAGATGGGGACCGATGACTGGGTCTTGGCAAGCACCCAGCCCTGTGCCTCCAGCTTTGCATTGAAGGGTGGAGTCCAGCCCTTACCATGACCACCGTCTCGTTTCAGCATTCCCTTTCCTCTGGAGACTTAGGTGCTCCCTTGGAAAACCGAAAGAGAAGTCATGTCCTGAAATTGGTTTCTCTCATCCTACCAACATGTAAAGGTTGCTATAAATGCAGAACCCCCAGAGCAGCCAGCAAGGCACCTTCCCCATGTTTAGAAGGTAATTCGGGAAATTGGTCACCCAGCCTATTGGGACCCCCAGAGTGACGAGAACGAGGAGGTGGTGGTGAGGCCTTATCCCTGGCCCCCAAGGCTTACCCTCTGAAGGACTTGTTTGGGCAGTGACTCCAAAGCATGCGTCAAAGTGAAAGCTTCTTGAAGGCATAGACTATGCCTTGCTCATCTTTGCCTGATATGTAGTGGCTTCTTGGTGAGTTTTTGTCATATTGAGAGATAACCCCCTACCACACACACACACACACACACACACACACACACACCCTCACACACAAGGTGTGCTGGCTGCCTGACCCCTTCGGGCTCTCCGGGCCTGCAGTGCTGCCGAGCAGGGACTTGCCGTGCTTGGCTTCCACCGGAGCCGCGGGCCGAGGGCTTGTTCCCAGGGCTCGGGCAGAAGCATCTCGGGGGCACACCCTCCCTAGGTGGTCTCTCTGGCCACACTTTCTGAAATGAATGGCGCCCCCCGCTTTCCACGTGTGTAGTTGAAGAGCCCACAGATGCAGGCTGTCATCTCCAGGTGGGCCCTGTTCAAGGGTGCAATGTCCCCTGGGACTGGCCCTGTGGCTCTTTCCCATAATAACGTTAATCACACTGTCTCCTTGTTTACGTGGAGCGTCAGGGTTGACAAAGTGCAGCAGGGGACAGGCCTAAATAAACCCAGGCCCCTCCGGTGGGGCTTTCGCAAGAATCTTCTGTGGAAAATCTTTGCTTTCTTCCAGACTTGGCCAATCTGAGAACATACTCATTAAGATTTAGGGGCTCAGGTTCTTCATCAACTTGAAATGAATACTCTGTTATCATCCAGCATTCCCTCTTTCAACAGTGCTTATTGAGGACTGACCAGACTACAGGCACGGAGCCAGGGGCTAGGCCAGCAGAACAGGCCAGATCCAGTGTCTGACCTTGTGGACACTGAGATTTATCAAATAACCCCACAAATACCAACTTACAAAGACGGGTAAAAGGCGGGTACAAGGAATCATGGGGCCTTTTCAGGGCAAGAACTTCATCTGTTTTGTGAAGCCTGTCTGCTGAAATGCCACTTCCTTCCTCTCCCCACCCCCTGCCCTCCCCCCATATACACAGGGTGGTCATCCCGTCCCTTGAGCTCACTCTGTTCCTTTGCTGGCTTGTTTGGCCTTCGGCCGTACATTATAGTTATTTACATGTGTGTGGAGCCCCGATGGCAGCTGGACTCCATCCTGGAGCACAGAGAAGAGACTGAAGGGTTTTTAGCTGAGCGTGAACACTTCCCACCTGCTTCTTTGGAGTTTCCACATTTTAGAAAGTAATTTCCCCCATCTGCAGTAGAGTGGAGAACACTCTAGCGGGGTCTTGGGTGGCCCCATGTGTCAAACCCATTCATATTTATACAGCAAAATGGAAAAGTATTGATACTTAAATTAGCTAAGTAAGGACCAGAGATAACCTCACGTTTTGCCTCAAAATGAGTTGCCAAAAAAGTGGTTTTCAGAGCTGTTTAGATGTCAGAATTCTGGGTTCGGGATTGAGCCCTCGGAGCTCAGCGTCCACTGCATCATGGCGGTCCTTCCCCTCATCTCTGGGTAGAGAATGGTTGGTGCTTCCTGCTGAGAGCCGCTCTGTTTGCAGCTTCTTTAGACAGCGGAATGGGAAGCTTCTTGCACAGCAGCCATGGTGAGAAAAGCAGCGTGGTATCACGCATCGGGAAGTAAAAATGAGTGTGTCCTTCTGGGCTGCAAGCCCACTTCAAAGAATTTGTCCTTAGGAAATAGGAATGGGAGGATGCTTTCTGCACTAAGTTTATCATGGTGAAGACTTGGAAACAACCTAAATCTCCAATAAAAGGAAAATAGTTCAGTAAATAATGGAATATTATACAGCCAGTAAGAAAAACCTTTATGTCCTGATGACTATGTAAGAGCAGGGAAAGTCTTAGAGCATATCATGGTGAGTTAAAAATAAAAGTACATGCAGAATTGATATACATTATCATTCCTCTATTTAAAAACCAACAACAGGGCTTCCCTGGTGGCACAGTGGTTGAGAGTCCGCCTGCCGATGCAGGGGACACGGGTTCATGCCCCGGTCCGGGAAGATCCCACATGCCGCGGAGCGGCTGGACCCGTGAGCCATGGCCGCTGAGCCTGTGCTTCTGGAGCCTGTGCTCCGCAACGGAAGAGGCCACAGCAGTGAGAGGCCTGCGTACCACAAAAAAACAACAACAAAAAAAACAAACAAAAAAACCACATTTGCACAGGAGAAAAGACTGGAGGGAAACTTACCGAAATCCTAACTCTCATTTAGGTCTGTGTAATGGAATAATGGAAGAGTTGTTTTCATTCCTCTGTTTTCCAATTTTTTAAAAAATGTATTAAAAACCAAGCAACACTTCTTTATTTTCATTGGCACAGATTTCCCAGGAGTGAATGATGTTTCCGTGGAAGGGGGCCCATTTCTCTGATCCTCATGCCATTTGAGTTTCCTCCTCTCCTCTGTGAATGCGTGGAATAGACTTCTATGTCCCATGCGTACCCCTTTCTCCCAACTCACCCTTCCTTTCTGCGGTGGGATAAAAATTTGTTTTTCCTTTTCTTTCTCCCCTGTAGGCTGGCCGAACGGCTTTGTCCATCGTTCTGAAATCGCCCGCCCATGTGGAAATTGCAGGGCTGCTACGGGCCCACGCGAAGCAGGGCAGGTCCCTTGGACCGTAGGGGCTGCAGAAGAGCTGGCAGCAGGGAACAGAAGGGGCCTTCTCTGGACTCCTCCCTCGCCCTCGGAGAGGGCACGGGTCATAGCCAGGGGGCCGCCCCGCAAGAGAAGAAACTATGTCAAATACGCACATACATTCCTCTTGTATAATTCTGCTCGTTAGGATGCTTTGTAGTTTTTGCCTTAGGCCAAGCCCCAAAACTGCGGGCTGCAGAGGGGTGCAAGGTACAAAGTGCATTGGTGTTGGCTAAAAAATCCCGGCTATCTTCAGCCTCGAGTTCCTTGCGACTCTACCCTTTGTAGCACCGTGCAGAGACCAGGCAGGCAGGAGCACAGTAGCAAAGCAATACTTTTCACGTGGAATTTTAAAGTGCGCCATCTTTCTGTTTTATAATCAATTATATATGAATATATCCCATTGAATATGCATGTCTAGAGAGGAGGGGGTGGGGAAGGGGTGGGATTTAAGCAGCTTCCCTGGCAGTCATTCTCTGTAGGACCCTAGGAGAATCAACACGCAGGCAGGTGAAACTGGACAAACCCCTCTGGGGCCTTTGTTTAGTTGGCGTTGACAGAGAAATCTGAAACTCAGACGAGGTAGGAAGAAGCACATTGGCATCAATGCCAGATATACGGTCTTGACCATTTCCGAGTCACCAAGTGGCTCTGCTTTGCTCTAGGGAATTGGAATTAATCAGGAAGTTATCCAATCCAGTGAAGCACACCACATGTATGTAGGCAGAGTTCAGTTACGTCAGCTCTTCTGAATCTGTGAAAGAAACAAATGAATCAGAGTGAGCATACTTCTTGGGATGGGTTTTTATCATCCAGAAGCCACCACTGTTCCTTTGTAGCAGTACCCGTGGACTCACGGTAATCCTGGCTCCTTTCCCCTCCACCCTTACGAGCAGACTATGAGCCTTCATGTGGCTCTGAGGTTTCTGAGGCTCCTAGCAGCAGAGCTTGTCAGCCTGCAGCAGGAATGTGGAAGCTGGGCTGGGCAGGGCCCGCTCTGCACTGACATATCTGTCTACTGGAAAGTTAGTTCTTAAACTTCCACAATCCCAGGGGCCCACATGTGCATGGCTTTGTCTATGAATTTGTTCTTTCTTAAAAATCTCTTATGCAAAAAAAATCTCTCATGTATAAAAAGGAAAGACATCAAAGCTGGGTGAGCCTCACCCTGGTAACTCAAAAGCTCGAGTTCTCATTTGACTCAGATATCAATTTGCTTGGTGCCCCTTGGGTGAGTCATGGAACCTCTCTGGGCCCCCTTTCATCATCTCTAAAAATGGAGATCATCATACAACGTTTGTCCTGGGGGTGCTGGGCAAGGAACAGCTGATGCAAGTTTTGGAATCCAATTTGTAATCCATAAAGACTGTCTGCTGAAATGGCACAGCAAACTTCAGTACAACTTTGTGATGCATGAGAGAGGCTCTAAGTCCCAGAGCAGGACAGTGATGTGTGATGGTGTTGCTCAGAGAGAATGGAGCAAATAATGATCTAAAATGCTTTAAGTGGGTTTATTTTGACTTCATAGCACATTTTAAGAGCAGAACCCCACATTAATAAATGTTCTAGCCGGGTGCTTCTCAAACTTTGATGTGCGTACAAATCACCTGGAGAGCTTGTTGGAACGCAGTCAGTCTGTGAGGGAAGGAGCTGGAGAGTCGACATTTCTAACCAGTTCCCAGGGGATGCTGACGCTGCAGGGCCACACCGCACATGCAGTAGCAAGACTCTGGCCCATCCTGACCATTTATATATTAAAATGCTGCCTCTTGATATTCTGTCTCAAAGTTTCTTTGCATTTCTCTGCTCTCAGATCTTGGGAATTTGCAATGTGGGTCTTATTTTCTATTGTGTTTCTGCAGAGAGCAGTAAGGGGGTCCATGTCCTGTGTTGCCAATGTAGGGTCTGTTTCTGCATCTCATATTGGGGTGGCAACTTTTATTTGGTCGTATTTCTTATAATTATCTCATTCGAATCCAGCTATAAAAAAATTGCTTATTGACCAGAGAAGGCAAACTGGTTTTCCTAGAGTTTGAAGCCACTGAGTCATTATCAGAAAGACTTTTCCACCCTTTCTGAGATTTTAAATAAGTTTCTTTTCATGTTGAGTTTGGAACGTGAATACATGATCTCATCACTTAACCATTCCATTCCATTGGAATGTCTGAGCCCAGAGCATGGTGAGATGAACAAGCACAGCCTGCCTCCCTGTCATTGTCACTGCTCTAGAATTCGTTCCACAAAAATCTGCTGAAACCGGCCCTGTGCCTGACACTGTTCCCAGCGCTGGCTTTTAGAAAGCAGCTGTGGTCCCCTCTAGAAAACCAGTGTCTAAGGTTACCATGATCCCAATCCCAGGCTTTCCAGGACTTTAAGCCAAGTTTCCACTGATTAATACATTTATCAAGTGTCTGACAGCACAGCCTCCAAGCAACATAAGTCAGGCTCACTGGAGACAGGAATTAAGCTCAGGCCTCGGGGGGAGACCCACAGGTATTTTAGCTTCCCTCACTGCCTGCATGGGAGCTTGCAATCTGCTTTAGGAAGACAAGACACATGTGCTAATAGTAAAGAATAAAACCAGACAACATAGTTTATTCCACAAATATTTCTGGAGTACCCACTGTGTGCAGGTGCTGGGCTTGAATTAGAGACATCATAGTGACACAGTTCAGACAGCCACTTCATCTACTTGGGGAAACAGAATGTGAGAAGGAAGCCTAGAACACTACAGGGGTACCAATAAAGGGCACTAGAGCAGCCTTAGGAAGTCAAGGGAGGCTTCTAGAGAAAGAGGGGTCTAATTGAAAATGTAAAGATTAGTGGATGTTAGCCAGAAAAGGAAGAGTACTGAGAGGTGAGGAGAGGACAGAGTGTGTCAGGCAGAGAGACCAGTGTTGCCAAGGCTGAAAGATTTGAGGGCTGGCATTTGGGGACCTTCATTCAGTTGGATAGAACTGCCATGTAGAGTTTGAGAGCGACGCTGAGATCAAAGGGTGGATTTGGAAGAGATGAGACTGAAAATACCTGAGGACCAGATCAAAAAGGGCCTGAAATCTGTGATAACTCTTTGTTCTAAAGGCAATGAAAGTCTACTGATTTATGACTGAGAAATTCATTCACCTAACCTTCATTTAACACAGATTTGTTAGGTACTTACTCCCTTCCAAGTCCTGTGTTTGGGGCTGGGGACATGCTGGTAGACAAGTTAGGCAAGGAACTCACAGTTTAGCAGGGAAGAAAGACAAACAAGTCCTCTTGGCCCAGAATGATGCACATTGCAACTGGGAAAGTACAAGGTGTGACGGGGACACATAGGTGGGACCCTCAGCCTAGTTGGAAGGTGGGGAGGGAGTCGAGGAAGGCTTCCCAAGGAATGTTTAAGCTCTCTGAAGGATGACTAGGCAGTAGCCAGGCAAAGAGGAGCTGAGGAAGCATGCATAGAGCCTCAAGACAAGGGAGAACACGGACTTGGAGCATTAGAAGAACTCCAGTGCTCCTGGAATAGAAAAAAGGAAGGATGGCAAGATGAGACCAGACAGAAAGCCACTGTAACAAGACTTGAAGGAAATAGGAATATAGTAAGCGATGCTCAGATTTACATTCCAGAAATAACACTA